ATCCAACGAACAGCGAGGCTCTGGAACACATTGCCCAGGGAAGTGTTCTCCGAGGCATATAACCTCCAGAAATTTAAGAAGAACACCTACCTCATTTCCCTTGGTTCTCATTATGTTCTCTGAACATTACAGGATATCCCTTTGCGTGGGAACCAGAACATAAAAAATAATTTAGAATTACATAGCTTTGTTCCCGAAACATTTATCAACATGAGACGAACCCCTTACCCCGCCTCGAGAGGTTCTCTTTGGCTCATTTTCAATATTTTCACGCTTTCACGGTATATTCAATTTGAATCTTCAATTTGAAACATCAAGAATCATGCGAAAATACTTTCACAAAGGAACATATTCTAACAGTGTGTAGCATCTATGTACTCAAAATTCTCTGCTATATCCATAAAAACATATCTGGACTAAAAAAATGCTCTCAAGTTCACAAGTATTCTTTAATAAATCAATCTAACATCTACCTAAATAGTTTCAATTATGCAGGCAGTCACCTCTATAATCAACTTCCAGAAGAACTAAAAAACCTCAGCTTCAATATGTTCAAAAAAAAAAACTAAAACCTAAAACATATTCTTATCCAAAATAGCTTCTATACCACAGCAGACTTTTATTCATATCTTCAAATATTATATCAGCAATAATAAAATTATTATATATTGGTGCTAACTTGTGTAGGTACTGTACTACTGTATTTTATATAACTGTGTATACCAATTTATATAAATGTGACTCGTTCCTAATTTCATTTGTTCAACAAATTTTTAACATATCTTTAGTTATAGTTATTTTTTCATGTATATCATTCACATTTTAATGCAAATATTTTTTGTATGACGAACCGATCATCGTATCATGGCAAAAACGGTAATATATTATCTATCTATCTATCAATATTTTCTTCGGAATGACAGAGGATGTGCACGGGTTAGTCGCGACACCTCACAATCAAATCACCTGGGAACGTTTCGTGTTTTCTTCATCGCTTACGATATCACAGTTCACCGTCTATCGACAAGGTTATCGATATAAATAATGTGAAAGGTTGGTAGTGTTTATATCAATTTTTTTATCAATAGTGGAATAACCGTCACGAACCGCTAGATCGATGAGAAAACTAATTCCGTAGATCATGTTTTCGATATTTTTTTCTCAAATTGTGAACGAATGAGGTGACTATCCAATCAAAAAATTACGCCTGGATTGGTGAAATACTTCCGGTGGAAAATAAAACAAAGGCCACAATTTTTCTTGACATTATCACTACCGTTCTCGGCTCACGAAACAGACCACTCCTGATACTTTTTTTTTCAACCTGATAGATATTTTCTGAACGATTCACGAGGTTGGGTAGAAAAATATGAAAACTTGCATGACTCTAGAAAAAATTAATTAATATTCCTCCAAGTGCGAACTAGTCTCAATATTTTATCTAAGTATGATTGATTTGTCATCAAAAAACAATTTTTTCGTCGACCACTACAAAAAAATCACATTTTACGTTCGAATTTCCGAACGAAAAATCCACTATTTCCGAATGCAAGTACTTCTCGTTGGCTGACACAAACTTTTCGTCCATTACAGGGTTGCAGTTCTGGAATTCGTTAAGCATAAAATAGATAATCCGATATCACGAAATTAGTGATTCATATTCTTCGAAGAACCAGTAAAGAGTTTAATCAAAAATCATTATTATTCAATATTTTTGTATTTGCTATCTATTAATTATTATGACCACAAACAAAGATAAAGTCATTGAACATGAATTTAAATATATTCAATAGATCCTTTACGAGGATTGTCACACCATCAAAGTGATAATTAAATGTACAAATTTATAAATAAACATTTGACCCGAACAAACAAATACGTGATGTTGAAAAATGAAAAAAGTTATGTACTTTTTAGTGCCCTTTAAAACCCAATGAAAATTTCTTAAACCAATGAACTCTTGTTTAGTCTACTAAAACAATAAAATGCTCTACTTTGTCATCGTAAAATTCGAACGCCTACTAGATATATACAATTAAACGAGTTCTTGAATATTGGTAAAACAAGTAAAACCAAGCGGAAATGAGAAAATTAAATAATTGTTGTTCCAATTTGAAATGTTAAACTGGTGTCATTAAAGCGATTGTTGGTAACGCAGGAAGTGAAAAGAGTTTAGACTTTTTAGAGATATGAAGAACTGCTTGGTTGAACAATTATAAGTAGGATACCTCGAATATTGTAAAACCTACCTTTCTATAAAAATCCAGCCATTCCAGTCAACATTTTCATTATTCAAATTCAATGCATTATACACGTTTTTTTTTTCTCAGAATTAGATATATTATTTTTTGATTATTTAACAGACTTTTCATTGGGCAGAAGGAGAGCTCTAAGTCTAAGTGATTTCCACACTCTTTAAATGATGTAATTATTCAAGGGGACACGTTTCGGACTCATAAAAGTCCATCTACAGCCCAATTTAAAAGTTACTATACAAGCAGCAGGTACGCACTCTCAGGAATATGAAAACCCTCGTGAAAACCCGTTTTTATCAATTATATACAAATTTTAACAAGGATATTATGATGATGGGCATTGGCACCAACATTTGAAAATTATTCAACTCCATCAGCATGTAAGGAAAATTTTGTTTTTTTCTGATACGTATTTTCAACATGCCACTAGTGTATTAGGGATCAGGAATTCCCAGATCTAATATTTCAGGACTTCATAAATATTCATCACGGAACATCTTTCATTCAATTAATCGATTAATTCATTAATTAATCCATGTTGATAATTGATGTCAAACAGAAAATTATGTCACTCAATCAGCCCTTGAGCCTAAACGGCTCACTAGCAGAAATACACTAGGAACATTTCTTGTAGCAAATTTATTCCTCTTCAATTTTTATGTCAACATATTTTTTCGAAAAACGCACAGTTTTGGAGATATTTGCAAAAAAAACGTTTTGGTCGCCATCTTGGAAATATGGCGGCGCCAGCGGCATGTTTCGGAATGTGCATTTTGTGAATTTTAGTTCTACATCTCCAAACCTATAAACCTACAAGGTTTCAAACCTTGCGGACTTATTTCCAGGTAAAAATCCCCATCAATGACTGATTTTTGATTCACGTCGATAACCACTTTTCAAGAGAAGATACAAAAGGGTTTTGAGAATGGATTTTCAAATTTTTATTAACAATAATTCAGAACCATTCTCCAACCAACTCCAACCGTCTGCTTCATCATATTTTGAATTGAAGTGTGAACTTATCTCGTCCCCTCTCAACACAATAGTTCTAGATTCACCTTAATATCTTATTTTCAAGAGAAAATTCAAGTGTTTCAAGACAGTATCGGATTTTTACATTTTTATTAACAATTATTCGGAACCGATAGTGAATAAGGATGAACCAATAGTGAATAGGGATGAATCAAGGGGTGAATCACGTGGGAATTCCAGTGTAACCGAGACATGAACTCCTCGGGAAGTCCGGTAATCTTCGGGAATTCCAGGAATTTCTTGGGAAGTCCGGGAATTCATTGGGTAGTTCGGGTATTTTTTTGGAAGTCTGTATAATTACGATTTTTTGAAGATTGTATTTTATCGAATCTCAACCTGGCAAACTACTCGCAGTGTTGAATTTATTAGAACTCATTCAATATCACATGCCCTCCATATCTACTAAAATAAAATCGATTTTACATTTTTTTAATCTTTTGGAGCGCACGAAAGGGAATCCCGATCATATTTGAGATATTTCATGTCATTTCCATTGATTCCCCTTCATCACTTTTCACAATACACGTTCTTTCAGTGTATCAGTTTTGTCCTCAGATTTACCCAATCGAAATGAAGCAAGTGGAAAAAATAAGTAGTAAGAATCAATCTGAACTTCTGAATTTGTTTGCACTAAAGAGTACAATGAACAAATTTGTGAAGTATCAACTGAAGTTGAAATCGATATATCGCGAGATATTATATCATTGAATGAGTAGGTATAGTTATTGATGAGAAACAGCGTCAAACTTTGTCGTTCTGCCCTGTATATCGAACATAGGAGCGTAAAATGAAAATGGCGATATAAAAGTCGAGGTAATCCTTGGGAAGCCCAGGAATCCTTTGGGAAGTATGGGAATTCTTTGGAAAGTCCAAGAATTCCTTGGGAAGTCCGGGAATTCCTTGGGAAGTCCGGGAATTCCTTGGGTAGTCCCAGGAATTCCGGGAATTCTTTCAAGTCCAGTGTACCCGAAATTGGCCCGTAATTAGATAATAGAGCATCTTAGGGATGAACTCCAGAGACTCATTCGTCTTCGTCCGGCTTGTCAAAGACTCTTCAAGTGCTATGATTCGCCCTTCAAGGAAAATATTTTGCAATTCTCTCTGCAATTCTTCATCATAACTTGAAAATTTCGATCACGGCGGTTAAATGCTGTAATTCAAACTCGAGGAGGGCATACTCGTTATTGACTACAGGTCTGCTGTTTGTTTGCTCATTTTAATTAAGGTTTTTCTGGTTTTTTTCCGGTAAGTGCTGAAAAATGAGGTAGAAATAAGTGATATTAATTTCCTAAGTTGTTAATCTGATTCTGATTATTATTAATAAGAATCTAAAAATGCCATACTTTCTTAAAACACTCGTATCTTCTCTTACAAATAAGATCATGACGTGAATCAAAAACTATTGTGTCAATAAAGGATCACACTTCACTCCAAAATATGATGAAGCCAAGTTCAACCACTCAATTTTGCCACAGGGCGTTAAGAAATAAAGGGCGAAAGAGTAACTTTTGCTTTTTCCCTGTGAATGATCAAGTCACCAGCCTTTCACGGAAACTAATATTTAGGCTAATATTCCGGAGCATGAATCTAGGATTTGATCGAAATTTCACAAAAATCGGACGAGTATTGAAAAAGTTACAGGGTGAACAAATTTTTTGGTGGCCAGTTTTTTTGTCGGTGAGTGTATTTTCACTGTATTTTTTCGTCTCCTACCTGACAGATTTCGGTCTGTGGAACTTCCATGTGTTGCTCTGCCTTTGGGCGCTATTGCTGTACAAATCTTCGATGTTTCTGTTGCACAGCAAACTACGGGGTCGCACCAATACGCTGATGCGTTTGAAATTTTTTTCTTTTTTTCTCAAACTCACGTTCGCGCGACCCGTACAAGTCGGTCCACCTGTTGCACTGATTCTTTTCACTAAGTCCAACATGGCGTTTATTCACTTTCGCAATTCGATTCGCAATTTATCATCATCATAAGTTACACTGGTTGAAAGTATTTTTTGTTCATGTGTGTACACCTCCTATGATTGCTGCTCTTTTTCAGTGAGACTATTTAAAAAAGTTAAAAGTAAATTCTTATTGCAATCTCAATGAGAATGAGCAAATAGTAGGTAATTTACATAGTAAGTACGAAAAGATTATTAGGCAAATTTCAGGTTGTAAACAACTATTTTGGATTCAAGATTTTTTTTCGAAATCAGTCTCATTCATTGAAATTCAGATGTTTATGGTTTTCTGGGGTTGGGATTTTCAGAAAATAATTATAAATTCACAAAATATCGATTTTTGAATTGAGGAAAAAAGCCTGAAAAATATTATTTCTAGAATTCAACAAGTTTTCTCTGAATTTAAAATATTTTTTCTGAATACAAAAAAAGGCATTTCAACGCTTCTCAGTACAATGTTTCCAAACTCAAAAGAATCACTGAAGTAATGTTGTGGTTTCATTTTTCATCAATGAAGATTAATAACCTTCCTGTGCTTTCATGATGATGCTTGGTTTTTCTTATTTCAAGTGTTGTTCTGGAAGTGGTGAGTGGTTGACTTGTAAATAATATAAACTAGTATACGTTTCTATTTTGTATGGACTGAAGATATGATGAGATAAGAACAATCTGGGAGGATTCACTGATATCACCAGTCATCACAACGTGTCTTTATTATGTCTAGACATAAAGGACACACTCAATATCAAAAATTTCTATAGAATACGAGAAAATAACTCACTTCAGAAAAATTATTTGAGTGTATCATGCATACAGGGTGTTTCATTACTACTGAACAATTTATGGATTTTCTCATTATTTCTATTAACTGCTAATCAAGAATTTGTATAACATTAATTATTCATTACAAATATATTTACGAGCCGCATATTTTTGAGCCAACTTTGTGTCACATTCTATTCAATTAATAATGACCCAGAGTTAACGATTCCTACGATTCTATAAATAATCTGGGTGTGTAAATGTATATGTAATATGGGGAATAATATGATCATTAGTGGAATTTATTGTAAACCTACTACTCTTTGTTTTAATCACACAAATGCCAAGGTTATTCATTACATATTGCACGAATTCCATCAAGAATTTCAGAAACGTGAATGTCTTGCTAACACCATTGTAGTTTCCTTCTGGGTCCAGACGTTTTTCCAAAATTTCACACAGAATCCAAAAACAGGGGGTATTTTCTGACGATATCAAACTCCAGACAGAGGGTGATTCTTCAGGTAACTTTAAAAGGAAAAAAGTTCTATCGAAGGGGTAGGTTGCGTTCGGCCCAATTTTCGATTGGCCCAATTTTCGATTTGCCCACCATCTCCGAATATACCCGAACGAAGCGTTGTGGCCAAATCTGAATGAAGAATCATTCTGGACAATTTTTAAAAATAGTTTTTTTCTTGTTTTTCAAGTAATCTTTTTCCACCAATGATGGTAGGTACATTTAGATTTTTAATCAATACTTGAATTAACATAAGCATTGTTTCTTCTCACAGTTTTTCTTTTTATAAATTTGCTGATGATGAAGGATTAATCCTTCGAAACATGTCATTATGTCCATGACCATTGGTCATTATTAAATTGTTTATGTGGTGACTGTGAGTTCTTTCACCCCTCCTGACACTTATTAAACTTCACATTAAATATTGGATTTCAATCCAGATCAGGTAATAGAAAAATTTTGGACTTGCACACACATCAACCTGACTTTTGGCCTGGACACGCCATGTTTCTTCTACCATGGCCAAAAGTCGAAAATCCCCAATACTACTAATAGCATACAGTAACGTCTGAATCAATAAAAAAAGCTCAACAATTTCGTCGAAGAAATGTTCGCAGGACAATCTTTCATGTTTGTGTTGGCGACATTTTGGCACGCGATCTGGGAAATGTTGCTTGTAATATTTCGAAAACATTGTAAATAACAGCGCAAACAGAATTTCGAGTTTAGACGGCAATTCTTGGCAGCTCTTTGCTATTAGCCCGTATACACTTCACACTTCCTGAAATAAGACTTTTCTACAGATGTTATTTATAGGAGATATACAGAGCACACGGAATACGAAATAAAAGAAATACCATTAGCTTCAAGTGTCTCGAAGCAGGTATAATATATTTCTTGGTGATTATTTCTGGCATTCTGGATGAACTTTGTAGAAAACGAAGAGTTAACAACACTGTCAAAATTTGGTACGTGTGCAGCTTCTTTGAGACGAATGGGCGATATGTTTTTTCGATATTGATAAAATAGTTGTTTATTATAAAAGGAAAATAAGTAGTAGGTATAGATAGAAAAACCGTGGTGCTAAAATCTTATCTTCTTCCCGTGTATAATACACTATTTTTTTCTGTGACAGAAGAAAGGACGAATCAAAATATTGAGAAGATATTATATTATTTTGAAATCTGAAAATTATCGACGTGAAATTTTAAGTTTTTAACAGTAGGGACACCTGAGTTGTAGGCATCTTTATCATTCTTTTGAAGTAATCAAATATCTTATGTCACTTCTGTCAGTCTAATTCTGTGATTTTATTTCAAAAAATTACGAATTTAGTGGTTGTTCAGTAATATACGTAACCGCGAAGTCGAATGGAAGATAAAAGGACTTGCAGTTCTTTCTCGGAGACGGTATTATTGACTCATTTTTCGAAACTATAGCACAACAAAAACCATCAACAGTGTATATATCCGGGAAAAAAAGTACTCACTTTTTTCCCACGGAGAGAAATTAATTCATGAAAAGTGACATTTTATAATCAGCCAACAGAGATGAAATGCCAAAATTTTTTTCCGTCACAGAAAAAATCCATTTTTTATGTTGAAAACGGGAGCAGATCCGTTCCCGGAACGTCTAAAGATAAGTGATAATTTGATATTTTCTCTATATACCTTTATTTCTCCTCTCCAAACCTTTCTCAATACAAATTGTCACTGACAAGCTAGTGAATGTTTCTTTTAGGCTCTCCGATAGAAACATTCTTCAAACGCAGTGACATTTTGGAGCAAATCATCTGATTTGTCCTCACTACACGTATATTGAAATCATTATTCATATTTTTATTTTATAAAGACGAGGAAGACTTCAACGCCCTATATATCAGATAGCAAACCACTACGGACATATTAAGTATGTTCATAAGAACTTTTTTGCTTGAAACGACCTTACGAATCACCCCCTGGAATTTCGTATCGTAGTTAGGAAACACCTTGTATTTCATTAATCTAATCGATTATTGCCCATCGTTGAATCACAGTCTAAAAACGTATCCAAGGTAAAATTAAAACGTTGATAATTTGCATTCGGACCATTTTAAAATTCTGCTCGTCGTGTTCGAGACATGTATTACCTTAAAAATATACAAAGCGTTGTCGTGAAGCTCGTGGGAGGTAGAAAAAATTAGTCACACACTTTTACACATGAGAAAACATGATCGTTTCGAATCACTGTCGAGACCAATGGACAGGAAGAAAGCATCAAGTTTTTTATCAACGCTCCGTCGAGCATTTTAGTGAATGCTTCAATTGCTTGGATAATTTCAGGTACAATTATAATCGGTAATTATTATTGGTGATATTAAATAGCAATATGGTGTGAACAACAATAATTTCATGAATAACTATGATTCGTTTCAGAATTCTTCAATCAATCAATCAATCAGTCAATCAATGAAGCTAAAAAACTTCACAAACGATAAGATTTTCACAAAATTCTTAACCTCACAAAATGTTTGTGAAGTTTTTTACATTTAAAAAATCAATAAATCAATGAATTTTCTGAACAACTAAGAGGAAATGGGAAGATTCACGGAATATACAGCGATACTCTTAGCTATACGAAAATAGGAAAACTAGGTATAGCTCATGATGAATAATGACCATATTAGTATAATATGCTAATGTATCTTAGTTCAAGTTATTTGAGAGAATTTTCACTATTCAAGCGATGAATTAGTTTGGAATTTATTAGATTCTAGATATCGTTATATAGACATCTACTATAATACATATGTGTTCTTTCCGAGGTTCTTTCCCAGTTCCATCAAATATATCCAAAATGATACTTTTAGGCATATTCATATATTATGATAAATTTAAGTTCTGGTTGAACCGGAAGTAAAGCCAACTTTGGATTATCAAATGACACCCTGTATATATTTCTGGTTATTTGTATTCTGTTTCAAATGATCTTCATAGATAAATATTTCAGTTGTTACAAAGAATAACAGTTTTAAGTGATATAGCAAAATTTCAACAAAATGGGCCATGGAAATGACTGACAACTTTTTCATGTCGTGAGTCCATTCTAGAAAAAATCTTGTGGTGGATAATAAACAAACTAAATATTTACTATAATTCGAAATAGAAAAATGAAAAAAATATAGAAATGAATATACTACATTCTAGAACTTATACTATAGTGTTCCTCATATTACATTTCATTTTTCAGGTTCTACTTGAATCCGAGAAATTGTCTACACCCTGTATACACTAGATACACGTTTGAACACTTTGTATGAGTTAGTCGCATAATCAGGCTATGATTCATCAATAAGTAAGGCTTGAGTTTCTAAATTGAAAGCTATATAAGCTTTTCAGAGAAGTCCCACGTTTATTGCACAATATGATGATGATGATGATGATGATGATGATGATGATGATGATGATGATGCATCAGGGTTCGACACAGTTCGTCCCCTCGAATGTGTATGTGCATATTATAGGTTTTTAAGTAATTCCGAGGTTTTTTGAATTCACAATGGTCACCGTGAATATCAAAGACATGAAGGTCTTACTATGAAATTGTCAGATTATAGAGATAGACTCTTCAGTACCATTCTATATTGATTCTAAATATCATCATTTGAAGTATGAAGATGACTGAACAATCATTCTTTCCTTTGAAATTTCACTCCTCGTTCAGGAAATATAGATTCCTAACAGAGACTCTGAAACAAGTTGATTCCACAGTGCATAGAACAAAACGTTTCAAGAGTACATACAATAACGTTGTACTAGTACTGGTATACAATTTTGCACACGTGTTACATAAGGGACAGTCTAATGGACTAGCAAACGATGTGCAACATCCTGTATGTCTGTCATTGAGGAATTATGCACATACTCAATTTTCATTGTTCAAAATTTAAATTTCACATTCAAGTGTATGTATATTCGCATACAACACTTTTCCTACTGATAGAAGTACAGTCAAATGCAAAGAACATGTCAGTATTGGATGGTGTTAGCGCTATTGCAGGAGTGGATAGAACAGGTGACACCCATATCATCCGTGCAAAAAATTATTTAAATTATAATATATTAGCATGATTATATTCAGATCTTCTAGAATACCTTTTCAGTAGTTTATCTGTACTTATCATATACAGAGTATTGTTTAAAAAGATAATTATTTTTCTAGTCCTATTATTATTGGAAATCAGTGCATAATCCAATTGAATTTCGTGAAAAAATATGTTTCATCTTCTGAGAGTTTATGTCAGCTGTTATGATTATGTTCCGATTGTTTGATAATAATAATTGAAATTTTCGAAACCAATAAATTAAAACCTAGCTTGAAACTCAAAAAATATTCAATTTCATGTACATATAAGTACATAATCAATATTCTGTGTAGATAACTACAAAAGAACTACGAAATAAGCTCGGAAATCAGTATTCTAGGAGTATCCGAATATTTATGATATTACAATATTTTTCAAATGAATGTGTGCACGGAAAATAGATAATTCTCAATCAAAAATGCCTTGTATATGATTTCATCGTGAAAATTGAAAAAAGTGTTTCCGCAGTTTCTCAACATTCTGAAGATATTATACTTTTTCGCGAGGTTTATTGCTAAAAGAATGTCTGATATTAGTAACTGAATTTTTGCATTTTAAATCGTTCATATACAGGGTGTCCCAGAATAACGTTCGTATACTACAGGAGGTAATTCTACACATGAAAATATGAAGAAATGAAGGTCTTCAAATGCAATTTTCTTCAATTATCTTTTTTATCATTGATCCTATAGAGTCACGAAATTTGGTATCAATGGGTGATTCGATCTTGTGGTACGGAAAACATAATTTACCATACAGGGAGGTGCGAAACTCGTAACCCATGCTATAAAAAATGCCCCAAGTTTTTTTTTCAAGATTCATGTTCATTCTACTACCAGAATATTATTCTTCAAATACTTTCACATGAAGAAGAATACCATCAAAGGGCTTTAGCGCATTAGGAAGCATTTTCAGACACATTTTTTCATATCTCCATATCTCACTGCTCAAATCATAATATCCTAACTGATGTATCTTTATCTGCTTGACTTGACATTTGTAATTTTCGGACGTCTGTCATGTCAATTTTAGTATAACCTTCATTTTCACGCACATGTGATTCTTTTTCTTCATCAGGTCAATTTTGATGCATCATCGATCTTTATAGTTTGATTTTTCCAAATGTAATTATCACCTTTCGGTAATTCAAGGGCACGTGGGCCCTTGTAAAATATGAACCCGACCTTTAACCGATAAATCTAAACATAATTTTATATCATTTTACACTGACAGTAAGTTTTTTCGTGTTTTTCACTTTGTCCCTTAATATTTCTAAATCAATTGTTTTCCAGACCATGGAGCATATTTCCCTGTTTGCACTGTTATTAACTATACTATTTGTATGTCCACTTTTTTCATTTCCATGTAAGTACTAAGTAACTCATGCATCTATATCCTAAGTCAATACCGATTTTTCTAGAACTATGATACTTTCTATTGGCTGATGATGGGCTTATATGAGCCCGAAACATTTTCCCTTACGATTGATCTTTGATTATTTGATGAATGTTGTGGGGATAACTTTGGGTTTTCTTCTATATGAACTACATACCACTCATTTGAGTTACCATGGACTTCTTCCGAGGATTTTTTCATATTTTTACCTCCCGGATTATACGAATGTTAGTCTGGGACACCCTGTATAGTTGGTCGTGTATTATATTAGATAATTGAGTGTGTTACATATTGAGCGACAAAAATTTGAAATCTTTCAACAAACAAGAAAATACAACGAAAAATGCTGGTCGTATCGTATCACACTTTTCTATAATATTTTCCATGTTTCAATGGTTCGTCCAAATCCTAACGTTTGTCAACAATAGAATGGCATTCAGCCTAGCCCGTTTCAAGACATCCCAAGCGATTCGCTAACATAAAAAATGAAAAACAACCGCCAACCACTCCTCGATAATAAACATCATCACATCCGACGACTTTCCTATTATCCTTCAAACTCACAAGCACAACCGCCCACGTGCCTCAAGAAACGGCTTTTCAAACCTCGAAAAATTCGATAGCAATTCCCCAGTAAATTAAATCCGACCCCCGAAAAAAAGCACTCCCGGGAAGCCCTTCGTATCCCTTCGATTGGGAAATTGTACGGGTCTTTTTACGCGAAACTGTTCGATATCGCGCGATCGGAAGCAAGAAGTTCGTCGAGTGACTAAACCACAGATTAACGAACTAAACGCTAAACGCATCGCATCCGAAGTGAAATCACTGAATGAATGCTGAATGGTTTCGTTATCCGTTGCTTTGGTGCGAGAAGGCAATCTCTGGTCGATCGTATAATGTTTAAATATAGGTGGGAATAAGATGGATCTACTATCTATTGTATCTTATGTTTTTCTCAACTTTGTTTGGAGAAAACGCTGCTGAATAAATGGTGCCGATCAGATAATAGTTTTTCTACGGCTTTAACACAAAATTGCTCTTGTTTTACTGTGTTCCATACATGAATGAGGTACTTTGTATGTCATCAATTTTATGTCCGTAGGACTTCATTGTGTTATTATTTAAATGAAAAACTCATCGCCCATGTGATGTCAAATTTCAAGCAATGACAGCTCTGTCAAATAGATAAGCATACTGTCTGTAGGTTGATCAAGGAGGTGGTACATTCATTATTCCAAATTTTTTGGAATTTTCTCATATATAATACCACAAGTGATAATATTTTGCCCGAGATTTTGCCGGAAATATTCGGTGATTGTTACGACAGCTTGTTGCCTAGTAATTTCGTGAATGACATTGTTATCAAAACTACGAGCCGTAGGCGAGTAGTTTTGGATCAATATCATGAGCGAAATTAGAGCAGCAAGCTGGAGTATGTCAATTGACGAATATTTCCAGGAAAAATAGTATCACGAGTTGTATTCGTATGACTATTTCATGATTGAATGAGAAAATATATATAAGAAATAGGAAACATAATTTAAGTATATTCCAACTCAAACTGCGAAGAAGAACATAATGATAGTAATGAAATACAGAATTAAATTTTTTAGAAATTAACTACCTACTTATATAATATAGTAATTCACAAAGTGGAATGTACAATTTTGATGAACAGTATTTTGTTTATTATCTTGGAGATGGTTGCTCTCAAAAGAGTGTATACATTTGCTATCCGATTCGAACAAAATAAATTGAATTTATGTGACATGAAATAATTAAAAAAAAAATTATTGTCGCCGACGGGCTTGAACCACCGACCTTCGTATCACCGCGCAACAACCCTATCAGTTGAGCCACATCACCTGGATTACATTAGTTACAATAACTTGAGTGACTGAAGAAGATTACTTTAAAAAGGAATTTGAATTCTAGTATTGTTGTCAGACCGTCAACAAATATGCAAACTTATTATATTACACATGAAACGTCCAGCCAGAATGAAATTGTCTCGCCTTTCGTACAAAATGTCTCACTAACGCGAATTATAAGTAAATAAAATGAAGTAGGTACTTAGGTTATTGTCTCTTGTGTCAGATTTGAATCCAAAGCAATCTTGACAAGACACGATGTCAAAATTTTATCGCTGATAAACGTGGTTTGTTGGTCACGTGTGGGTCAATTCGGCTTCTGTATTGGTAGAGCAAGTCCGATAAAATTTGATAAACAAAAAATATCGCTAGAATACAGAAGAAACCGTGAAAATGGTCGATTCTGATTGGTTCTCGAGATCAAGAGTGGAATAGTCTCCAAAAAACAACAAAAATATGAATATTTATCAATATACGTGTAGTTAGGACAAATCAGATGATTTGCCCCAAAATGTCACTGGGTTTGAAGAATTTTCCTAACAGAGAGCCCAAAAGAAAAATTCACTAGCTTGTCAGTTACAATTTGAATTGAAAAAGGTTTGGAGAAGAGAAATAAAGGTATATAGAAAAAATATCAAATGTTCCCTTATCTTTGGACATTTCGGGAACGAATCTGCTCCCGTTTTCAACATAAAAAGTCGATATTTGAATAGACAATTTTTATTTGTCTTGGCAATTTTCAGTTCTCAGTGACAATTGAGCAATCAAATGAGTTACAGGATGTTTTCATTCATTTCAGTAGTGAATACCATGTTCTATCTATATCAACTGAACAGGAAGCAATGCTACAGTCTCCGTTCAGAAGAATGCAAGCAGAATCCTTGATTTTTCTCTTCTGGTTGTTATCTTCTTTTCCAATGATTTTAATATCATTCCACTCTGCCATTTGTTCAAAATTAAAAATATAATGAGATCAATTCTAACTCAAACAAAGCCGAAAAATGAAGAACAATCGTCAAAGAATTGTATTTACACGAGTATTTACAGTATACCTTGTATTTGTGGAATGTGTTATACAGGTGAAACCAAGAGACCTCTTTCAGTATTGCTTTCAGTAAGGGCGAAGAAACATAGGTACAATATAAAGAAAAGACACATCAATAAATCGAAACAAGCTGAACATATCCTTACTGAAGATGGACAGAGTGGAATAATATTAAAATCATTGGAAAAGAAGATGAAAACCAGAAGAGAAAAATCAAGGAATCTGCTTGCATTCTTCTGAACGGAGACAATAGCATTGCTTCCTGTTCAGTTGATATAGATAGAACATGGTATTCACTACTGAAAACTGAAAATGAAAATGGTAAATTCAAGATTAAATAATGAAAACATTCTGTAACTCATTTGATTGCCAACGTCAACCAATTGTCGCTGAGAACTGGAAAGTGTCCATACAAATAAGAATTCGCTATTTAAATATCTATTTTTTATGTTGAAAACGGGAGCAGATTTGTTCGTTTCCGCAACGTCCAAAGCTAAGTGAAAATTTGATATTTCTTCTATATATACCTTTATTCCTCTTTTCCAAACCTTTTTCAATACAAATTGTCGCTGACAAGCTAGTGAATTTTTCTTTTAGGCTCTCTGATAGGAAAATTCTTCAAACGCAGTGACATTTCGGGGCAAATCATCTGATTTGTCCTTACTACACGTATATTGAAATAATATTCATATTTTATATTTTATAGAAACGAGGAGAGAAATCCCAAAAAATCTTGAATAATGAAAGCTGTGATATTGAAGAATCTGAATTTTCCCTACTGCATGTGAGATCGGAAATAAAAAAAATAGCTATATATTGAAGCTACGAGTTATAGATACAGCACTTTGACATTTGAAATACAAGAACTGTTGATTATCTAGGGAAACAATGTCAGTTCTAAGCCATCGTATGGCAGGAACGAAACTAAATTCCTTTCTTTTTCCAGGATCCAGCATATTGATTCTATTAGACTCGTGACCGGTAATATAATATCTGGAGATGCCATCAGAAGAACAAACAGCAAGGGAAAAGAGAGAGAAAAAAAGAAAGGTCCATTAACATCCCAGATCCCGAATCAATATTGCTCCTATTACTCCGCATTCAATAATTCCAGTTTAGCACCAGGGAGAAAAACGATAGCATCAGCTGGAAGGGGGCCGCGGGGCATACAGGGGGAAACCTCCCCCCTTCCCTCGAATCGATACTCCCTTGTCTAGGTTGGGGGTTGATCGACCTATTTATGCGTCAGCACGAAACATTACGCGAATATCGCGTTACATGCGATATTCTGATAGGTTAGTGGTTAGTTGGTGGATTTAAAGTAAATCGGAGGCGTTTTGTTTACATTGGGGTGAACGATGGGAAAATAATCAAGTGAACAATGCATTCAAGAAATATCAACCCCTGATTTCTATTTTTATATGCAGATATATTACTTCCATCCTCGCGTTCTTCAAGAATGCTAAAAAATATATATACACCTGCTTCATGATGGTCATAGTTTTATCAACAGTGAGAACAAATTTGCCAACCAGTAGTTTTTCGAGAAAAATTGACATACAAAAATTTCGAGGCTTTATAGGTCTTATGTAACATAATAAGTAACACTACAACAACAATATATATATATATATATATATATATATAAGTCTATTGACGATTTCTTGATTCTTTTAGTTTGCAGAATTGATTTTCCTTATAGAAAACAATTCCCCAAAACGGCTCAACTTGCGAATTTTCGTGTAAACAATGCCCAAAAATCACAACTGACTACCTGACACTACAGAAACTGAATTTTAGATGATGTTTTCAGAAACAGGCACTTTTGCAGCGATTACTACACGCCTATTCTAAGTACCCCAATGCAGGTTTCTTCAGTTTCCTAAAAATTGACCAAGCTACTGGCATTTTTTATAATGAAAAGCAACCTAGCTTCCCCAATAACTGATAAATGCACACCTTGCTTCTTGCTTCTAATCAACACATTTTTATACTTCGCTAACTACTGCCACCGTCAAATTATTTTTGACTTTTCTCAACTCAATGCTCGACTCAACGTCCTAACACAAAGCCGTTTTTATTCAAAACTAAATTGACTTTATAATGTAGTGTATTAATTTCCCTAAAATACATTGAAATATTTTCTTCAAATAAAATGTCAAATCGCATTCAAATTTTATTGTCATTTGGCAACGAATTTCGAATCAAGAGAAGTACAACGAAAAGATAAATGGTGCAGTTGCTCAGCATAATCACCTTAAAGTGGATTTATGCTCATTAAACGATTATCAAGTAACATTTAGTATTTAACAAGTAGCATTTTTTTTATCGCTTGGAGCGCACGAAAGGGAATCCCTATAATGTTCAAAGAACATCGTGCGTTTCTAGGGAGGATAGGGACAGGAGGTAGGTATTGGAATTGAAAGTTGAACTTCCTGTTTTCAATGAAGGTGTTTATGCAGACATTCAACAATTATCAATTAACTAGTATCAAGTAGGAAGTTGGCCAACGTTGAACTTTCTTACTTTGGCTTTTTCCCTAATTTCTTACTTTGATTGAATCAGGTTTTCTTGTAGTGCGCAACTATGGTACGCAGATGATCGCGAATTGGTTTCATCCACTGGTAGAGAAGGCATGGATTGGTCAGACCAATGTCAGCCCTGATATCTGACAGATGTTATGAAATTTGTTTCAACATAAAACAGGTGCGATGAACAGAATAATTGTGAATATAAAAGTAACCCAGGCTTTTCCAGATCAGAAAACATCATGAAATTCGAAATTTTAGCTCCTTATGTAAATTGTAAACAACGAATATGTAAAGTTATAGCTTTGATAGTCCAGATTTAGGGCATGTGCATGCGCTTGCGTACTATTAATCAATCAGTTGTTAATTTGGTTTGCA